GTAGAGTGAAAAAAGTCCTACAAGAAGGCAAAAGAGTCAGGGACAGGCCTCACCCCACTGTTAGGATTTCCAGAAGAACACCCAGACACTTAGGCATAATGTATACGCAGAGGATCTAGGTCAGACTCCTATAGGTCCTCTGATCTCTCAAGTCTCCATGAGTCCCTGTCAGTGGATTCTATGGCACAAGTTCTCATGGTGTGTCCCTCACCACTGTGGTTCCTCCAGCCCCTCCTCTCCTCCTCTGCAGGACTCCCCAAGCTCTGCTGAATGTTTGACTGTGGTCCTGTGCAGCCTCTTCAACAAAAGGTGCTGGTCTAACTGGAACTTGGTATGTAGAGTAATGAAAATAGATCCATATCTATCACCCAGACAAAATGCAAGTCCAAGTGGATCAAAGACCTCAACATAAAAACAGATACACTGAACCTGATAGAAGAGAAGGTGGGGAGTATTCTTGAATGCCTTGGCACAGGAGACAACTTCCTGAACAGAAGGCCAACAGCACAAGCACTAAGATCAACAATTAATAAATGGGACCTCATGAAACTGAAAAAATTCTGTAAGACAAAGGACACTGTCAATGAGACAAAATGACAGCCAGTAGACTAGGAAAAGATCATCACCAACTCCACATCTGACAGAGGGTTAATATCCAAGATATATAAAGAATCCAAGAACTGGACATCAACAAACTGAATAACCCAATTAAAAATGGGATACAGATCCAAACTGAGGATTCTCAACAGAGAAATATCAAATAGCTGAGAAATACTTCAAGAAATGTCCAACACCCTTAGGCATCAGGGAATTGAAAATCAAAAGTTTTTGAGATTCCATCTTACACCTGGAAGAAAGTGAAAGATCAAAAATGTCTAGTGGCAGCACATGCTGTCGAGGATGTGGAGCGAAGGAAGCACTCCTCCACTGCTGGTGGGACTGCAAACTTGTACAGTCACTATGGAAATCAATATGGCGGTTTCTCAGGAAGTTGGAAATTGATCTAAGCCAGGATTTTGTAAAGGCTGTGTGGTGAAATGTTGGTTTTGTGGGTGCAATCTTGTTTGTAATGAAACTATGTTGCCTCACAGGGTTGTTCTTCTGACTCCTGAAATATAAGCAAGTTTTCCCCTGGGGGAGTTCAGGTTCGTTAGTACCCTCCCCATGCCCTGACCTTATGGTTTCATCATTTGTAAAATTTCTTTCACATATATCTGTGAGAAAGAAAATAATACCAGAACTACTTACCCAACAATGACATGTGAGGAAATCTTTATTAAACTTTCACTTTATAAAAAGTTGTATTTTTATTATTTTAAATACTGTGTGCAGGGAATAATACTGAATGCCTGTGATCCCAGCACTTGGAGAGGCAGAGGCAGGTGAATCTCTGTGATTTTAAGGCCAGCCTGGACTGAAAGACAAAAACTTCTGTCAATCTTTATTTATTATTATTATTATTATTATTATTACTTATAATTTATTCACTTTGTATCCCAGCTGTAGCCCCCTCCCTCAACTCCTCCTGGTTCCATCCTCCTTCCCTGGCCCCCCACCATGTCCCTCACCTAGTCCACTGATAGGGGAGGTCCTCCTCCCCTACTATCTGACCCTACCCTAGCCTATCAGGTCTTATCAGGACTGTTTGAATCCTATTTCTCTGTGGCCTAGTTAGGCTACCTCACCAGGAGGAAGTGATCAAAGAGCCAGCCACTGAGTTCATGCCAGAGACAGCCCCTGCTCCCCTTACTAGGGAAACCACATGGAGACTGAACTGCCCATGGGCTACATCTAGCAGGGAGTCTAGATCCTCTCCATGCATGGTTCTTGGTTAATTTATCAGAGTCTGAAGGATCCCCTGGGCCCAGATTTTTGGCTTTGCTGGTCTCCTTGTGGGTCAATCTTATACCAAAGGAGAGAAGGTGAATCACATCATGGATACTCAATCACCTCCATCCCAGAATCTCTTTCTCTCCTAATCAGATATCCACCAACAGTGTTCTAGAACCTCACAGATTATCTTGAAGTGTTTTTTTTATCACTTCAAGGAGTTTTTGATGAGAACACACTTTTGCACAGCAGCCATCCATTGGTGGCCAAAGCTCCTCAGATAGAGGTAGGACTACATGAGCCATTTTCTTATCATGTTGGAATGTTGACATGCTTGATTTTATTTTACAGTTTCTGTGTGAAATAAAATCACACAGACTCCTGTCTGTGTCTCTGAAGACAACTGTTCTCTCTCTCTCTCTCTCTCAATCTTACAGTCTTTATTGCTGCACTCCATTGATATCTGAGTCTGAGGGGATTGTGGTACTATAAAAATGAAGAGTCTGAAAGGACTCCACTATATGGTCTCACACTCATGGAAATAAAGTCAGCCCTACATGAAATCAGTAATATGAAACCACAACAACAGTAGCAGCAGCAGCAGCCTATGTGAAACTAGAAAGCAAGACCAGAAGAACCAAGGCTACACAGAGAAACCCCATCTCAAAAATACCTTGAGAAAAGAAAAAAATGTGCGTGTGTGTCCATGTGTAGGTGCACACAGATGTATGCAGGTGCCCACAGAAGCCAGAGGTTATGAATCTTCCAGAAGCTGGAGTTACAGGTAGCCATAAGCCACCTGACTTGGGTGCTGGGAACCAAACTTTGGGTCCTTTATAAGATCAGAACACACTCTCACCAACTGAGCATCTCTCCAGCCCCATTACTTTCTGCTCTTTTATCTAATGCTAATACTTTATACACAACGTGTTTTGTTCAAACACATACCCCATTCCTTCCTTTCTAATTCCTCTGCTATGTTTTCCATAACTTTTATCTCCTGAAGAGAATGGTCTTAATATCAAACTGCCTTCTAAGTTTATGTCTTTTATCAATAAATTAATTCAGCACTCATATCTAATCAAAGAAATTTTTAATGAAGTGGTAATGGGTTAACACAGAAATTCACAATGGGCCAAAGTGCAGAGAATAATTGTCAATAGAATGCTCATCCATAAATGGAAAATTAAAGATTCTATAATGGAAACAACATTGACAATATTAATGAAGAAACTTTATCGGTATTGAAA